ATTTAAAAATATTCTCATTGGCATAGGATAAGTGACATTCTTAATGTCACTTTTTTATCTGTGTCTAAGAGACATCTTCTCTAACAGAATTACTTGCTGTCCCGTGGCAGAGTTTTAGATTGCTCATGCAAAATTCAGGATCTCAGCACCTTTTCTCAAGAAGCAAGGTAAGCTCTTTTTTTATTTATTTATTTTTTTTTGCTTTATTGTGTGATATTCACTTTATTGCAGGGATCTGAAACTGAACCCACAATATCTTCAAGGTAAGCCTTTAATGGGAAAATGAGCAATATATAAATAAGACCCATAGATTATAGTGTCATAGCAATAAAAAGATTTTCTTTAGCTGTTAATTAGAAGCTCTGATTTGTATTTCCAGGTGCCTCTCACTAAGGACCTGAGAGTCAACTTTCCCTAATGTGTTCAAACACCATGCCTGTCTTGGTCCACTAAGGGGAATGGAGTGGGTATGGATTTTAAGTGTTTAGATTTTAATTCTTTACTTCTGCACTTTGTACTTAGTCTCCACTTCATATTTCTTTCTGGGTCTAGTAGTTTTTTTTTGTTTTGTTTTGTTTTTTTTTAGAAAGTATTTACATGTCCATCACTTAAACTGCTGAGAAGCAAACACCAGCCCACAGTTCACCTATGATCCTTCCCAACTCAGCTCAGCCTACCAAGTGTTCTGTGGTTTACCACCTGCTGGCAAACATCATCTCTTTTTCTTCCTTTAAAGTCTTCCTCAAGGTAATCCTCTGGTTCTGGCTGCTCTTTTGCAGTCTCTACTGATTACAATGCAGGGCAATATAAAGATCTTGTTTTTTTATTCTAGTAGTGTTTCTTTTTTTATTTACATTTTTAATACATTCAATTATATTATTTAGCTTACAAGGTGATCATTTCAATATATGAACATTTCTCCCTGATCGAGTTGATCAAAATATAGCAACACTACCTCCCTGTCTCAACAATGCTGTCTTCGTATCCCTCCTCCAAATGTTCTTCCCTAGGCCCCACTCTTCCACACTCCCCACATCTGGCATTGCTGATACATTTTCTTTGAGAAGTGTAATAATGTAAAAATATGAGGAAAGCTGCAACCGCTGAGCTTTATTTGTGCTCATGATATGATGTCAAGAACGTTTTTCTAAAGTGGTTGGATTGAAGTCCTGAAAATATCCTATGTTGTTTCCAGTAGGATGTTTCATGATTCGCATAAAGCACAAAGTTAATTCATAAAAAAAAGAACAAAAATAAATTATACACAACACTTCTATTGAGTAACTGGTAATTTTATCTTCTTTACCACCTGTTCCTACTTCTCCATCACTGTACAGAAATTGAACCAGTTCGTGCAGATATTTCTTCAGATTCCAGAAAGTGCCTCACAAAATTAATTAGATCCTGACACTATTATATTATTCTTTATGAGATAATCTCTCCTCTAGCTTTACCTCTAGAACACTCAGCAATGTGGTAGTTCAGAGTACACGTTGTGAAGTCAGTCATACCTACATTTGAACCTTGAATCTACCTTACAGTAGACACGTGATTTTATGGAGTATTATGACTTGTAAAATCCTCACTTTCCTATTCTGTAAAGTATTGGCAATAGTACTGATTCATAAAGTTGTAAAGAGTAAGTTAACTATACTACCATCTGAATCTATAATTCTCTAGTAAGTGAATATAAATTATAGCTTATGTTCTAAAATTTCTAGGTTTCATATTATGTATGCTGTTAATCAGCAAACAAATATACTGTACGGAACTAGTAATATCAAGTGAAGTTACAAAATTGCTAGAAAAGGGCTAGCAAAGATATCTACACAAAATTATGCTGCCAAAGTCTCCGAATTCAAATTACAAATGAAAAATCAATCTCACAGAGCCAGTAGCCACAAGCACACATCTGAACACTAGAAGAAAATCTCCTATTCATATATTTTTCAATCTTCTATTTCCATGAATCATCTATCAATGAGAGTAGATAGAGTAGGAAGGAGTTTTCAAAAAGGAAAATTCCTGGGAACGAGCAGTTAGCGTAATGGCTATGTCGCTGGACTCCCAAGTAGTCGACAGCAGTTCGAGTCCCGGACCCGGTGGCTTAAATTCACGCCGGGCGCGTGTGCGTACGTGCCCAAGATCCCAAGAGGAGAATGGAGGAGAAGGGATTGCGGCGTGGCCATCCCCCCTGGGGGGTGATTTTCTGCTTTCTGTCTCTCTGTCT